GAACTTACTTACTTACTTACTTACTTACTTACTTACTTACTTACTTACTTACTTACTTACTTACTTACTTACTTACTTACTTACTTACTTACTCCCGTGCGAACACAGCTCTAGGCACTTTACAATACATAAATGCATGTACGAACAGTATTCACAAACGCACACTCACGCACATATTACACTCACATACGTGCACACACATGCACGCCACACACACACACACGCACACACATACGCGCACTCACAGTCACACACACACACACACGCACTCACAGTCACACACACACACACACACACACACACACACACACACACACACACACACACACACACACACACCTACCTACTTGCTTATCACACGCCCACGCTTATACATCGTTACGAAATGAGCGCATACAATTATACATATGAAATAATAATATACACAATGCAATTCTCTGGTTAACTTTTTACTGAACATGAATCTACTGACAAAAAATGATTTCATTAGATGTGTCTTTAAAGAGGTTTTACATTTAGACTCAGATGCTGCATGTCTCAAGGGTTGGGGAAGAGAGTTCCAAACTGATGGTGCAAGGTGGGCAAAGCTTACCTCTTTTTCTGGGAACTCTTAAAAAACACGGATCGTCTGATCTTAGTGATCTAGATGGAACATACGCGGGGCATATTAGAAAGTTTTTTAAAACTGACCATGAAGGGATAAAGGTAGAAAGCTGAAATTTCTCTTGACAGCAAACAATTATCTTCCTAGAATGCATCTACATTTTGAGGAATTTCTGATTACTGGTTTTAACGCCAGCGCACTGTAAATGCATGGGGATATGTTGTTCTCCAGCTTCAACATAAAGATGGAGAAAATTGAGCACAAGACAGAAATAAAGTTTTAGTTCTTGCAAGGCAAGCAACAACAGGATATTTTTTTCGGAGATGCTTGCCGTAAATGGAACTGATTGCCCATCCTATGCTCAGGTAAAAATTTTGGTGTAAAAAAAAAATCAAATCCGGACTTGAAGATGGCAGCCGTGATGGTCGCTCAGTGACAGCAACAACAGAAGAGAATGAGTTGAAAATCAAGAAATTTGTGTAGTTTGATAAGTGGGTGACAGTCGAACTTTTGAGCAAAGAAACTAGGCGTGGCATTGGATCATTTAAACGAATCTTTAATGAACATTTAAATATGACCTTGGTTTCTGCGAGATGGGTCTCACGTTTGTTGACTCCTCCTCAAAAAGTGAAACGTGTGGATTGTTGTCAAAAATTGCTTGGTCAGTATGAAAAGGATGAAACTGATTTTTTTGAAAGACTTGTAACCATGTATGAAACACGAGTCCACCACAATAATTCTGAGTCAAAACCTGCATCAATGCAGTGGAAATTGCCCTCGTCTCCAACACCAAAGAAGGCAAAGATGCAGCTATCAAGTGGAAAAGTGATGCCATCAGTTTTTTTTTTTTTGGAACCAAGAAGGAGTGATTAAGACAGACTATCTTGAAAATGGACATACGGTCACCGGAGACCGTTATTCTAACCAGCTAAAAAAATCACAAGAGGCTATAAAAGAAAGACGCAGAGGAAAGATTAGGAAAGGAATTTTGCTGCTACACAACGCGCCAGCACACATGCATCCTATTCTCAAGATTTAGCCCCGTCCGTCTTTTTTGTATTCCCCGAACTGAAAGAGGATTTAAAAGGAAAGCATTTTGAAAGTGGTGATGAGGTCAAAGAAGCGGTATAGGGATGGTTTTCTTACAAAGAGAGGGTCTTCTATTTTCAAGGTCTTTTCAATGTCACATACACCCACGGCAAAAATGTATAACTGTGGGAGACGACTACATAGAGAAAGATTAAGCTGAGTATCAAATTTCAGCTTTCTACCTTTATTCCTTCATTCTTACTTACTTACTACCCATTACGCCATCTGGCGTTTAGGGCAGGTAACAAAGGATCTCCAGCTCTGTCTGTTTTGGGCCATCTTGGTCAGTGTTCCCCACGAATGATTCCAGGACTTCATTTCGGACTCTACTGTGCGTTTCCAGGTCACTTTGGGTCTACCCCTTTTGCGACGTCCTTCGGGTGTCCGGGGGAGGGCAGTTTTCATAATAGAGTCTGGTTCTCTTCTCAGAACATGTCCATTCCTTCGTGGCCAGGTAAAAAAAAACAACCAACAAAACAACTTTTGGTATGCCCCTCGTAAATCAGGACCAGGGTCGTTCAAAAAGTTTTGCCTCCAAGTTCATAATTTCTTTATTACTGATGCTACATACAAAAGTTATACTCCAAATGAAAGCTTAGGGTGTCTGCTACATGACAGTACCTTTACTTTTCAACATAGTCGCCTTCTTTGTCGATGCATATTCGCCAACGTCGAAAAAGCTGTCGAATGCCATCGGCGAAAATTCATGTGGTTTTCCTCTAAACCAGTGACGCACATCTTCTTGAACTTCATCGTCATCTGCATAACGTTTTCCTTTGAGGTACTCCTTCAACTTTGTAAAAAGATACAAGTCAGATGGAGCAAGGTCTGGACTGTATGATTGGTACGGTAAGTTCTTTTGAAATCTGAGACTTTTCTTGGCATTTTGAGTTTGTCGACTCGTGTGTGGACAGGCGTTGTCGTGGAGCAAAATTGCATTTTTTCCCCAGCTGAACTCGTGACAGCCGTGCTCTTACTTTTCTCAGGGTCTCAATATATCGTTCAGAGTTGATAGTGGAACCCTGTTCCAAAAATTCCATATGAATCAGACCAGACCATCGCAGTCCCCAAAAACTGCCATATGCACTTTCTTTGCAGATGAAACAACGTTGAACTTCTTGGGGGCTAGGTGAGCCAGTGTGCCTGTATTCTTTCGATTGTCTTTTGTTCTCCGGGTCATATTGGTGTACCCAGGTCTCGTCTCCTGCGACTTTACGGCATAAGAAAGCTTCACCTTCATCAGTATAGCGAGCCAGGAGCTCATCACTAACATGACTTCGGTTCAATT